CGGGAAGGCCCCGCAGACGTCTCGCAGACGGCTGGGCGCCCCGGCGAGCGCGCTCCGAGGACGCCCAGCCGCCGCGCAGCGGCGAGGAGCCAGCGCCGCCTCCCCGCCTCCCCTCCGCACGGCCCGCCCCGCCTCCTCTCCCCTCCCTTCCGCCCCCGGCTGGCTCCGCTTTCCAGATCTTTCTCGAACCCGCAGCCCCTCCGGCAGCCGTTGCCCGAGCGCTGACGGAAGCAGCCGAAGTCGCGGCGGGGAGCAGCCCCCGGCGCCGAGCTGCGGCTCGCGAGCCTCCGGGGCGGCAGAGCGCGCAGGCGCAGATCCCGGTAACTGCCGGTTGGAGGCGTCCGAGCCGCAGTGGAGACCGGGCGGCAGGACGCGGCTGAGGCGGTGGCGCGGACGGCCTCGACCCTCTCTGCAGTGTCCCGACGCCCTGCCCTATTTTCAGAGTTGGGGACCTGGGGTCCTGCCTCTTTGCCTCCCGCAGGAGTCGCAGTCCCAGCGGGAACGACCCACCAGAGGACGCGGTCCGCGCGCCCGAGACTTCAGCTCCGGCAGCCCGACCCTCAGGCGGCGGGATGTCTGTGGTTGGCATTGACCTCGGCTTTCTCAACTGCTACATCGCCGTAGCAAGGAGTGGCGGCATTGAGACCATCGCCAACGAGTACAGCGACAGGTGTACCCCGTAAGTGACCCCGACCCCAAGACACCTCTCCGCCCGCCCTTAGGTGTGTTCTGCGCGCTGCGTTCCTGCGCGTGGCCGCCGGCGCGAGCCCCGAGCTGACAGGTGCAGCCGCTGGCGGGCCCAGGTACCGGCGGACGTCCCGGCCGCAGAGCTGCGTCTCTTGCGGAGACCAGGGTCTCGCGGTCTGGCGCAACTCCTTGCGGTGACGCCGTCCCGACTCTGCCGCAGGTTGCGCCTGGCGTGGGGCCGCCTCGGCGTCCGGAGCAGGGAGGCAGGGCCCCGGGTCCTCCGGGGTCGCGCGGGATTATCCTCCTCTCTCCATTCTGCCCACGTCTCCTGGGTGACAGCTTCCCCTCAGAAAAGTACGGAGAGAAAGCTTAGACTGCACACTTGAGAAGATGAGCCGCAGGTTCATCTGACCCCGACCCCCCTTGAGAAAGGGATCATCTGACCGGTTTCCAAGGGCGCAGGGTTTTGGTATACTAATAAGGAGATTATCATCAAATGGGAGTCATTTGGCCTTATGTATTGGTCATGTAAGTCAATCATGGAAATCAGTAGGGTTAGAGCCTTGACCCAAGGAGATCTCTAGATGGAATTGTTAGAGTCAGCGGTGACTATCTTGTATGAACATGATTGTGAAGCGCTGCTATTACGAACGCTTGATGGAAGACTTAGGAATGGCATTATGACATAGAAACACGTTGCCACATGTTCTGTTGTTCCTCTGGTCTGGGAAGTTTGTTGGCAAACACCATGACTAAGTAATACCAGGATATGAAAAACTAATATGGGTCTCATTGTAGACTTCTGTTGCCTGTAATTTTATGAGGAAAATTCTGTTAATGCGTTGCTTTTTATGAGAATAATGTATTTGACTCTTGTGATTGGCCCAAAATGTATTTTAATTGTAAGACTAATCTTAATTAAGACCAATGTTAAATGATCTTTAAATGCCCCAATTATTACAATTCTATCAGTAGTTAAAATACACGGTTTGTTGAAGAATAGCTTACTCGATGCAGTCTGTGCTTTGGTTTCTTTTCAAGAATATTCTAGAATGTTTTATATCCCTTTTCCTAGATTTACCCATTACATATCATCTATTGAAAGTTTGAGTGTTTGCATCCTCAAATTACGGACATAGGCGGATAATCTTCACAGTACTGCTTGAACTTTTTTTTTTTTCCTTTTTACAACCTTTCCCTGACTCTTAATGCACAATAAGAGGCAGAAACAGTGATTATGAACTACATATGAATCCATCTTTTCATGATGTTATGTCACAATAAATATGGCTTTTTTTCCAACAAAAGACCAGGAAATTATACTCTTTTCAACAAAGTAGAAAATGATGGGGACAGTCTGACTTCAGTGATTCAACCTGTAGGACATAAGTGAGAGGTCACGTAGACATTCTCCATGTCCTTTAAAGCTTTATATCAAAAGCCAGAACTGTAAGAAAGATACTGTATTTCCAGGCTTAGAAATCTCTTTAGTGGTAGATGACATTTCACAGAGCCTGGTGGATCTTTCAGCGTTCTTTAAAAGATAGTCTTTTAAAAATGTTCATTACTATTGGCTTGTTCTGTGTAATTGAGATTTAATGTAATATTTCTGGTTTATGTGCTTGAAAGCTAATAAAACACAGTATTTAGATTTAGTGAGCCAAATCTAAACTACGAAGTTTCTGTGGTGGAAGGATTGTTTTCTCGTTTAACTTGCATCTGGGATTCTGATCTTTTCTGTTACTAAATGTACACGGTCATTAATGTCAGGAATATATCTTTCTTTGTTACCAAAAACAAAAGTCTGGAGGTGCTCTTGTACTGTGTTTACTTAATAGGGCATAACTACTGAGGTAAGATGTCACTCTTCCTAGTCTCAGTATATTTATTTGCAAAGTATGCCATTAGGATAAAAGCATTACTATTATAGGAACTTTAACTCTCATACATCACAGTATTTAATAATGTATTAAACTAGCTTTGCAAAAAGTGTATTTCATAGTCCAGTTGCTGATGTCAATATGACAAATATTTCTAAGATGCAAATACATTATAAAGGGATTGTGTGAGGAGGAAAGACATGTTCAAGTCTGTTGATTTCATTATGTATACTACTTTACTTTGTTTTCTTGTTTAACATATAGGATCCCTTGTATAAGCCAAAAAGTATAATTTGATTAAAAAGGACCATTAAGTTTTAGATTCTAATTAAGGGCAAATAATTCATCCTGTTCTTCAGATTTACCTTCTATAAAGTTGGAGCATACGTTAGCTTCCCATTGTTCAAAAGAAATACTTGAGATAATGAATTTTTAATTAGAAAAGATTTGGGTCACAGTTCTGAAAGTTTTGGTCTATAGATTTTGGGCTGTGATAAGGCAGTATATTATGGTAGAAATTTGTTGCAGAAGAAACCATTCACTTCATGATGACCAGGAAGCAAAGAGAACAAGAGAGGGGAAGGAGTCCCAATATTGCCTTCAGGGGCACATTCCCCAATGGCCTAATTTCCTTCCATTTGACCCCACCTTTGCCATATAGGTTTTAATGCCACCTCAGAGCACATGAGCTTTTGGGGGTCACTCCAGATCCAGTTTGAGCTTCACATGATACACATACCTGATGGTGTAATTAACTTAGTAATACATTGCCCCTGGATTCAGTACCTAGTGTAGTACCACCAAAAAATAAGTCTAGGGTATAGCAGAGTGCTTGTAATGGACTCATCTGCAAAAGTTGAAATTAACATCTTCAGTTGTCTGATGTAGCTTGTATGAAATAATTGTTGTTAACTGAGTACCACTCTGTAATTGCAAAAAAAAGTTGCAGCTATTTTGCTGACATTCTGAATGCCTCTAAGTAAATACAATTTTTTAATTTAAAAGTTGAAATTAAAGTTATATACAAAGAGGAAAAGGTCTTTCTGTAATTTTTTTATTTAAATATTACATAAAGAATGTATGATTCTTGTAAAGTGTAGGCACATTAAAAGAAGTTAAGAATTATAACTCCTCTAGGAATATTACTTCCAGATACTTACGTTTTAGAGAAAAAATGTACTGTATTGTGTTTGATAATATATTTCTGTATAAAATATATCTCTATTCCACCAGTTTTAATGTTTATATAATCATTAAATTTAATCAATCCTCAGGCATGTTTATATTTTGTTCTTGCAAATAGAGCCATAATAATACCTTTTTAAATTTTAAATCCTTTATTAATCTAAATTTCTAGAAGTATGGTTACCAAATGCACACATTTTTAAGCCCTTAGACATGTTCATATTCAATTAAGTGTATAGATGTATGGGAATGAGAATTTCTATCCGAGGCTTAATATTAATGTGATTGGTTTGACACATAGGGAATAAATCATTAGCTATGAATCCTCATTCAATATCAAATTAAAGCATCTCTTCAACTGTAACTATTGTAATAGTGAACACTGTGGTTAAACTTTTACATAAGTTGAGTCATGCCAGCTATCTTTTTCCTCTTAAGAAGTATAAAATATAAAATAACTTAGCCAGGAACTTCATAAGTAATAAAAGTGTCTATTTCAGTTTTCTCTGACTACAAAACCAAAATATCTTTCTATTATCCACTGGAATAAGAATGTGTATACAGTAGGTTAATAGAATGTTAACAACTGGAGGAACAGATTGCCTGGCTGAACAGTTATTGTATAGAGAAACATTTTTGCTCTGCCGTAAAACATTTGATTGTGGGCAGTTTCTAAGAAACCTTGTTTTAAAATGCTTTAATAATGTTTGTAAGTTATTTTTAATAAGGACATGTAAAAATGTTTAAAAGGTCATAAAAATACACATAAACATAAGTATAAATGTATAGAAGAAAGCAGTGTGAAAGACTAAACTTAATGAATATGTCTCGGAGGTAGACTATAGGGTGTGTGTTTAATACACCACATATAATGTTTTTCAATTTTTATAAATATATTTTACAATAAGGAATGTGGATTTTTTTAAATGGAACTACTTGTTTCAACATTTTTGCTAGGTATATTGTTAGCTTTATCATCAGAACTTATATTAGACTTGATATTCAGTTTTCTAGTTGCTGTCTTAACCTGTTAATTTTCAAGTGTGTGTATAATCTAAAAATATAGGGAAATTTTGTTTAAATCTCATGTATTTGTGATACTTCCTCAGTGCATAAAAACAGAAATTAATTAGTTTGGTGTATTTAAAAATACACTAAACATAGAAAATGTCAAACTCCAGAGTCAGTAAGTAGGTAACACAACTTTTTATGATAATGCTACAGTGGTTTTAGGGGGAAATGGGGCTTTTATAGCTTTTTTTAAAAATACAAGCATCTGCTTTGGCAAGCACAGGGACTAGGGTTCCATCCCCGGTCCCACATGCTGTGCCAGCCCTGTCCCTGGGGCACGCTGAGCTGGTGACAGAGTCCTGGTGTGGTGGCGCACACCTGTAACCCTAGTGCTGGGAAGGCAGAAAGCAGGAGGATCACAAGTCCAAGCTGTGTAGTGAGACCCTGTACCAAATATACAAATGAAAAAAAAAAAAAAGTTTGTGTGTGTGTGTGTGTGTGTGTACTTTTTGTTGTATGAGTTGGGTTTGTATGTTTTACTATAAGCTTAAGTTAATATTTTTTTAAAGAATACAAAATAGTGATAGAAAAACAGCATTAGAAACAATACAAAATTTCACTAAACAGAGTAATAGGAATTCAACAATGGTTGCTGTATTACGTGATGTTATTTTCAAATTAGTTGTTCAGGCTACCAGATACAAAATGCAAGACTGGCTTAAAGAAAAAAACAAAACAATATCAAAAAGTTGTAAGAAATTCAAAAGAAAAAATAATAAAAAGAGAAAAACATTAAGTATTAGCTGCTGCTTTCAGGGCTAGCCAAATAGCTCAGTGGATTAAAGTGCCTGCAAGCAAGCCCAGCGGCCAGGGGTTCAATCCCCAGGCCTGCCATGCGGGCCCCGCCCCCAGGGTA